AGGGCATAGGAGAAATGCAATATTTTATGGCTTACAGTTCACTTCTTTAATCTGACTTTGAGGAATGCTTTAAAAAATTGAGGAATGTTAAGGAAGCAATAAGAACAAATAATCCTTTAGGCCAGGGGTGTCAAACTCAATTTCATTGAGGGCCGCATCAGCATTGCGGTTGCCCTCAGGGGGCCAGGTGGGTGTGGCTAGGGTGGATGCGGCCTACTGGGTGGGCATGGAGTGGGTGTGGCCTACTGGGTGGGCATGGCCAGCTCTACATCGTTCCCGTCAAGGGTGTCTGTGGGGGCCTGGGCAGGAGTAGGGTAGATCTGAGGGTATCTGGCAGAAGGGGATGGGACCAGGGCAAGTGCCAAGACATGGTCCACTGGAGGAGCCTCACTGTTCCTCTCAGACCATGCGGGGGGGGGGGGCTTATGGAGCTAAGACTGAATGCGTTTCAGCATAGATGGCCACCACAAAATTATACATTGGCTCCCAGCCGGCCTGGGTGAGGGCCAAGGCAGAGGGGGCCATTCCCTCACTGTTTCCAGGATGGCTTCATGGGCTACATGAAACCACTTCACGGGCCGCATCTGGCCCCCGGGCCTTGTGTTTGACATGTCTGCTTTAGGCCCTCTCTCTATAAAATATCTATCCTTGCATAAGTTAGCTATAAGGGTTTATTCAGGAAACCCTTGTTCTGCCTTAAGAGAGCCAATTTAGTGTAATGGTTAGGACATCAGACTAGAAAACCAGGATATGGTGAGTTCTAGTCCCTCTTTAGGCATGAAGCCAGCTGTGTGATTTTGGGCCACTCTCTGTCAGCATTAGGGAGGAGGCAATTACAAACCACTGAAATATCCAGGCTGGATTCTTGTAAGAAACTTGAAGCTGGCTAACTGTGGCTCACCAAGAAGCAATTAGGAGTAGGCAGGACAAGAGCGATGGTTCATGGTGAAACAAGAATGCCCTTCCGGAAGCCCTCCTGACAGCTGCTCTAACAGATTCCTGAACACGCTGTGCTTCTGGGCAGGTACATTTTCCTTTCTGGGAGAGATCTGGTGATTTTTATGTCATTCTCCTGTCCTGCATGTTATCAGCAATACTGCTGAGGCAGATTTCCACTAAAGCTAGAACTTTTGACGTATAAATTGATTCATTCAGAGGTAAATCTTGGGTGGATCCTTTAAAATACGATGCCTAGGCAGAATAATTTCCTATACAGGAAGGAAAGGAAAGTCCTCTGACCGGTTAATTGCTCAAAGTAAGATGTTTAAACTCTTTGCAATTGTATGAAGCCTAGAAAATGCCAAAAGGGGGAGAGGAAAAAAACTTTGGTTTTCGGAAATGCTACACTTCCCTACCCACCCACATTCTCTCTCATGCACACAAAAACACTAAAATAAACTTGACTGAATGCCAGTCATGTTCCTCCCATGGAATATGGCCAGTGCCTCAGCCAATCAAATGCCAAAGAGAATCTCAAAAGTTAATTAATTTTAAAAAAAACCCTTCACAATAGAAGATTTTCAGTCATCTAGGTCATGGCTGTCCCAAATGTGCTTTTTTTCAAGCACCTTTGAGACTTTTCAAAGACTTTCTTTGTTTTTCCTTGAAGATGTTTCGCTTCTCATCCAAAAAGCTTTTTCAGTTCCACAGTCAGAACTGAAGAAGATTTTTGGATGAGAAGTGAAACATCTTCAAGAAAAAACAAAATCCAGTTGTCTCTTGGAAAGAGCACCTTAGGGATTTCCCAACCTGGTGCCTCCAGTTGTCTTTGATCAACTACCATAATCTCTAGTCTGCTCATAATCATGTTCCCATGCTTCCCAGCTGGAAGACACCAACTTGGGAAAACTTGGGGGATAAGGAAACACTGATTGAGTTGCTCTGGAAATGATGTCCAAACTAGTTTGGTCCTCTCTATTCATGTCGAGAAGATAATGGCACACCTGAGATTGATGTACAGCTTCCACCTGTTTTTCTATGTTAGATTAAAAGACAGAAATTGCAAGTAGCATTTTGGATGCCTAGGATGCTCTATAATGCAGCTGACATTAATCAAAGCCAGGGATATGTCAATTTCTCAAGTTCCCATCAACTTCCAGACAAGCTACTTAGTGATGTATGTTTATACAGCAGGATCCATGTGTAAAAGAGAAGCAAACAACAGTCCTGAACCCTATTCAAGCACTGGGCATCTTGGCTGTCAGAAGCTATTTTTCTTTCTGATTTCTAGTGGCACTTTGGAAAACCTCCAGCTTGCTGGTTGGGTAGAATGTGTCAATTGTTTCAAGAGCAGAATCTTCCCGTTGCCAGGACATGGGAGAGCTCAACCAAAACCCACCCAGTCAGGCGGCTGGCGCATTGCTGGGAAAAAGACTCTCCTTTGCCAGACAATGGCCATTCAGTCAAAACTGCACTGCTCCTGTGGCAGCCATTTATCTGCAGTCTATAATCAATGAATACTCTGAGGGACTCCAGCCTCTGGACATAGCAACCGCTTTGTGCCTTAATAATAGAGTCAGTGCTCCCAAGGTCATCCTTATACCAATTGCTACCGAGAGAGGCAGTTGGAAAGGAGGGTGGCCAGCCAATGGTCCTTCTTCCAGGCTGTCATAGCTCTTCTTGCTACAGGTGGCTCAGGAAAACGGGTCGAAGCAGAAACAGCTAAATGCTTTAGTTAGCCTCTCTTCCTTCCCAAAACCAAGACCTACCCACTCCTTCAGTTTAGTAGGCTTTTCAAAACAGACTCTTGTCTGTTTACTCTCCTGGGTGCAAGCATTTTATCAATGAGTTGGCCTACAACTTTTAGCTCTGACAAAGAGAAGGGGGGAAGGGATGATAGTGCAATATGTCTATGAAGATTTTCGGTCATCCAGGTCATGGTTGTCTCAAAGGTGCTTTTTCCAAGAGGCAACTGGACTTTGTTTTTCCTTGAAGACCTTTCTCTTCTCATCCAAAAAGAGAACTGAAGAAACTTCCTGGATGAGAAGTGAAACATTTTCAAGGAAAAACAAAATCCAGTTGTCTTTTGAAAAAGCACCTTTGGGTTAGTACAATATACCAAGCAGATGCCAGGTTAGGAACAAATAATACAGGTAGTCCTTGATTTACAACCATTCATTTAGTGACCGTTCAAAGTTACAATGGCAGTGAAAAAAATGACTTATGACCATGTTTCACACTTAATACAGTTGCAACATCCTCACTGTCACCTGATCAAAATTCATATGCTTGGCAACTGACACATATTTATGACAGTTGTAGTGTCCCAGGATCACGAGGATCCCCTTTTGCGACCTTCTGACAAGCAAAGTCAATGGGGAAGCCAGATTCACTTAACAACCCTGCTTAGCTGCAGTGATTCACTTTAACAACTGTGGCAAGAAAGGTGATAAAATGGGCAAAACTCACTTAATAACTGTCTCATTTAGCAACAGAAATGGTGGGCTCAATTGTGGATGTAAGTTGAGGACTACCTGTAATTATGAATCAGCCAGTCTGAGAACCAAACTTCTCCTTTACCATAAATCCACAACCTGATCAGGACTGTCTCATTAATTGTGTTTGCATAGGTTACTATACCAGAAGGTAGTTTTAGTCAGATGAGAGAAAGTATTGCAGACCAAACCATTATCTTCCAGTTCTAGCTACTTTCTTAACTGTGAATGGGAAGGACAGCAGTTTCCACCCAAGAACTTTTGGGAAAAGTAACTTTATAGGATTGCTAAATGGACATCATTCTAAATCTTAAATGCCAACAGAGATTCATTAAGCCCTATATGATATCCTGTGATCTAGAAGCCACTTTTCTAGTTGCAAATATGAATAAAGACCACTCTGATCATTCTTTTTGGAAGTGTACTTTGCACATGGAAGAGTCATTGTCAGCTGCCTTATCATAACAATGACTTCCCCGATTCTATAGGGGAAAAAAATCAATAGTAAGACCTAAAGTACTACAGTTGCTCTTCTCATGAGTTGCTTAAGGCTATATGTGACTACAAAATAATCCAGCTACTTCTTGTGCCTCAAGTGTGGCGTGCCTCAAGTGTGGCTCGCCTCACCGACAATTTACCCGGTCTAGGAAAAAATATTCTTGTTTCTTTAAGAGGCGAGCCACACTTGGCGCACAAGAAGTAGCTGGATTATACCAAGTGACAGCCGTAGGTGGGGAAGTATTCAGATCCAACAGTCATATATGCATGCGTATATATTGTATTTATTGCTGACAGTGAAAAATCAAGATTCTGAAAGGTGTTAGGTCTCCTTTTTCTCTCTCGGTTCCAATAATTCTCCAAGAGCAGTTTGCTGGAATGAACTTTTTCGTCGATATGGGGGGGACTCCCCTGTCTTTAACTCAGCATCGTTCCGTCCCCCCAACCCCATCTTTTAAAGGAAAAGTGGAGGCGCCGGGGAAGAGAGTGGGTGGTACCGGGCTCATGGTTCCTTTAAGAGCCGAGCGCTCGGTGCCCGCGAGGATCTTGTACTTAAGCTGGCAAGGGGGTTGATGAGTTAAGTATCCAGGTGAGTTCTTACAAGGAAAAGCCGGAGGTGGGTGGGGTGAAATTAGGAAGGCAACTTATGGAGGAGCTACTTGGAAGCAGAATCCCAGAGCTGGCTGATAATTTGATTGGCAAAGAATGGCTGAAGCTGGGAAGAAAGAGGTGTGTGTGGGTGTTTAATGCGGGTTGTCCGAAATCACTTTTATGGTGTTTGTTTATGCAGAACCGATCCTGATTCGGAAACCCTTCGGCTCGTCTGCGGAAGGCTCAGTTTCTTGCGAGGCTGCGGATCCCTTTCTCCGCTTGGCTTGGCAAATCTCCTAGCCCAGTTGGTGAAATGCCTGCTCGTTCCGAGAAAGCCGAGCCAGTGAATGGAAAAATAACTTCTCCGTGAACCTTTCTCCAGCCCCCCCCCCCCACCTTCCTATGCGTCCGGATTGAATCTCGTGGGGTCAGGAATCTGGTTTGTATCTTGGCTAAACTACCAGTTTCAAACTCCTGAATTCAGGGGCGAGTTGGATCGCTTTCGTTCGCTGGGAATTTAGAGCGTAGCCCTTTTAGTGGTTGTAACACGTGGGGATGCGCTTTCTCTGGTCCTGTTCACGCCGCGGTCTATTTCCTTTCAGCTGCGATTTTCCACACTCTGCTGGGGCTTCTTCTGCCTCTTGTCTGGTTGCTTCAAGAGGGTTCCTGAAGGCCAGCATTCTTCTGTGGCTTTGTTAGTTCAACAGTTGCTGACATCCACATTTTCCCCCTGCGCCTTCCTCTGGCCTGTTATTTGATAGGGGTTTCTTTCTTTCTTTTTAACCAAAGAAAGCAACTTTCAGAGCTCCTTTTTGCTTGAAAACTTTAAAGCTTCTACTCCCATTGACTAAGCAGCAGGGTAGGAGCTGAACTTCTCACAACGGGAAAGACTTCTAGTACAAGTTGTGGAAGCAGCTTGAGAGGGGGGTTCTATCAAGTTCACTTTTTCAAATTGAAGTTAAAGCATCTTTAACATTATAGAAATTTGAGGGGGACTTGTAGTCAATGTAAAGTATGGTTTTTCAAACTGTTTCACAGAACCCCCAAAGTTCCTTGAGAGATGGGGTGGGGGTGGGGAAGTTTGCGAAATTCAGCAAATTTTCTGTCACCAGAGGTTTTTTTGCCTCTTGATTGAGGTTTTAGATTTTTTTGAAACCTAAAAGGCTCCTGAAAAAGTTTGAAAACTGTTGCTTCAGAGAAACTATCCCTATTTTGGGAGAGATTCCACAGAATACTTTAAACCCCTCTGTCCAGATTCTATTGAAATAGAATTTTGGGAGACTTCTGATAGCCCTAGCACACTGAAGGGAGCATTTCCTATACCAGAGTCAAATCGATTAACTTGTTTCTTTGCACTCTGATACTTTAGAGTCCGTGGTGCTTCCGATACAATTGATGTTCATATAATGACCCTGAGTTAGGGAAGGTCCCTTTGGGACAGGCAAAATAAGAATATGCCCTGAGAAGTATAGTTGCATTATTGGTGGATCTGAAATTATTCAGGAGATATATTACACACGTCATATACTTTTGAGTCTTAAGGCTTCGAGGAAGAAAAATGAATACGACTGTAGTATTACTGTTGATTATTTGCTTTTGTTCATTTCTGTAGGCTATGTGGGAATTGCTCCAATCTCCGGTGAAGAGCAAATAGATTTTGACAGGTCATACAAGAATTATAGCAGCTGTTTGAATTGTTGGCATTGCTGAAAAAGTAAAAGAACATTGGCTGTTGGATAGATGCAGTCCTGCAACATTAGACTTTGTAGTAGGAATTCTAAGAATAAATAATCATTTTCCAGCTCTACTATAAACTTTGTAAATCAGAGTACTAGGTAGGTGCATCCCGATAAGGGTATTTCAAGTCTCCATTTTACATCCCAAATTAAGAAGTACTGGTTGAATACAATAAAAAGTTATTGTTGGCAGAAGAGATTCAAGTTAAATTTGAGAAATTCTTCAAAAAAGAAATAATAAACATTGCCTGGTTAGTAGCACAGACTAGACATTCCATAACTCGAAAGGGATGGGAGTTTTTACTTTATTCCAGAACTCCAGTATCTTGCCCACTCTTGAGCTCTCCAGATGTTTTAAGAATGCTATTCTCATACTTCATGTTCAGAAAGGCTTGTAATAACACATCTTCTCTTTCTCTCAATTCTTTTTTTCTTTGCAGGCTTTAATCTGCCATCGTTCTGTTTTTAAGTGACTTGGAGAGAATGCAGGGAGGCAATGCGCTGGCAGTGCCATGGCTCATGTTCCTAGCTGTGGCTGGTGCTCCTGAGCAGTATGAGAAACCTGCTTTCACCCCCATCTTCACCCGCAGGCCCTTCATTGTGGCTTGGAATGCACCAACCCAGGACTGTGAGCCTCGCTTCAAGGTTCAATTTGACTTTTCTGTTTTTGATGTTCAGGCCTCGCCTAATGAGGGCTTTGTGGACCAGAACCTGACCATTTTTTATAAAGAACGCTTGGGCTTTTATCCCTATTATGATGCAAACAATGTGGCTATTAATGGGGGTGTCCCACAAAACAGCAGTTTGGAGAAGCATCTAATCCGGTTAACAGAGAGCATTCAAAAATACATCCGCTCCAGTTCAAAGGAGGGATTGGCAGTCATTGACTGGGAAGAGTGGAGACCCATCTGGATCCGAAACTGGCAGCCCAAAGACATTTACCGGAATGCCTCTCGTAAGCTTGTGCTGTCTAGGCGTCCTAAATTGGAAGAAGATCAGTTGAAGAAGCAGGCCCAGTATGAATTTGAATCATCAGCTTGTGATTTTATGAGGGAGACTCTGCGATACGCCAAAAACTTTCGTCCACGACAGCTCTGGGGTTACTACCTCTTCCCAAACTGCTATAACCATGATTATCGCAACAACCAGGATAGTTACACTGGTCATTGTCCTGATGTAGAGAAGACTCGGAACGATCACCTGGCCTGGCTCTGGAAAGAGAGCACTGCTCTTTTTCCTTCCATTTATCTGGAACACGAATTGGCCAACACCATGAATGGCCGCAAGTTTGTGAGGTCTCGAGTAAAAGAAGGCCTTCGTATTTCTCAAAAACATCATGATAACTATGCTCTACCTGTCTTTGTCTACACAAGGCCCACTTATAGCAATGGGAAGGATATTTTCTTAAAAGAGGTAAGAATGCTTTCTTCCTGGAACTGAGAAACATTATTCAAGAAATTGGGATCTTGAGCAGCAGTTTCTGTTCAGAGCTAATCAAATCCTGATGCAACTGGAAGGTTACCCACTTGGTATAGAATGAACCCCCATGCACTGTACTGCCTCTTTTAGTGCCATTCTGCACAAAAATGAGGACTGGGTCTAGCACCTGGCCTGGCACAAAATCTAGCTAGTAGGCTGCTTTTGATTTGATAAATTACACTGTGACTAGGTTGCTGCATCACTCTCAGTTGATTAATTTGCTTAACTATTGCTTGTCGAATAAGTTCTAATTCATTCCTACATCATTCTAAATTATAAGAGCCTTGGTGGTGCAGTGATTAGAATGCATTATTGCAGGCTAAATCTGCCCACATCCTGGAGTTTGATCCTGATGCGCTCAAAGTTGACTTAGCCATCCATATTTCCAAGGTCCGGTAACATGAGGACCCAGTTTGTTGGTGACAATATGCTGACATTGTAAATCACTCAGAGATTTACTATTGCTATATATAAACCACAATATAAACTAAGTATGCTAAATTTAAAAAAATCAGCAAATCACATTATGGTTTAGTGCGATGTATAAACCCAGTCTTTGTGCAGAACCTAGTTCTAATAATTGAAAACTAGTTTCATAAACAACACTAGAAATGGTAATTTGCAAAGTGTGTTAGTATGAGGAAGGCATTAAAACAGCCACATTCTCTAGGAGACTCCAAGCATTTGCTTTGAAGATTGTCCCTGGTTCTCTCTCTATATATATGGTCTAACTCTAGGACAATCGCCAAGATGCTGTGCATACATACACATGCACATACATAATTGAAATAATCTTTCAAAGCAAGTGGATTAAGCTTTCTAGAGGATGTAGATATTTTAATACGTTCATACCCATGTGCTTTGTACAACACCCATTTTTAGTACCTTGGGAAGCCTTAAGTTCTTTTTAAACTTTGCAATTCTTGAAAAGTTAACATTTCAGAAGTTACTTTATTGGGAGGTGTAATACCACAGCTCAGTAAGATCAGGAGGTAATATACCTCCTGATGTTTTACTGCCTTATGAAAAATAAAGCACATCAGCACTTAAAAGCACTATTTTGGAAATAAATTAGCCTAATCAAATACTAAAAAGTTTGTAGAGCAATGTGAAAAGAACAGCTACTTTGGTCTATTAGTTGGACCTCATTGTAACTGCACTGAACTTATTTAGAAGAATTGTGTAATCAATTCAAGATAAAATACCTAGGGAGGGAGCATTCATTCTAATTTGTGGCTCCAAATGGGGTTACAAATATTCATATGCAGTAGGTATAATTGAGGTTTAATTAAACATCTAAAAGAATAGCTTACATTTCTTCCCAAAATTTAGGGGAGCCAACTGCAACAGCAATTTGTTCCATAGTCTTACTCTATACCACTTCAGGAGACAGCAGAATTGGCTGTTGATATTAATAGTAGAGTATTGCACACCTGCAAACGATCTCCAATAGAAATTCTAAGATTGTGGGGTGGGAGGTACAGGCCTACGAAGTCCTGCAAATAATGTGGATCAATTCTGGAGCCAACACCTAATTACAAATCTGGTCCTTCAAGGATATGATAACTCTGCCCAAAGTACGCATATGTCAAATCCAAACCCTAAAATTGGCAACAACCCTGTCTTGTCCAAATTTCATCTTTTCTGTACCCAATCCTTTATGGCTTGGAGACATGGAGATTTTCTATTGTGAGTTTGCAAGGAAGAAATGTAGTTGGCTGTTACCACATTATGCTTCCGAGAAGCTTTGTGTATTTATTTATCAAATTTAGGTATTACCCATCTCTCAGAATGAGTCAAAATATAGTGAACTCTCAGGTTCATCAAAATAGGATGGTTCTTAGAGCCCTCTTCCCCAACAACTGGCCAATTCCCAAGGAGCGGAGAAGAATTTTCCTATATTGTCTTCTGCTAGTGCCTGGAGGGATGAGGTCTCATTTTTATATATTTATATATAGTTCTCTGTATGTAATACACACACACACATTTCACTTATGCATATGTTAAGCAATTCAGCTATGCAGCGCTCCAGATTGAAAGATAAAAAGGTGATTTCTAAAATCTTCAAACTGATCTCTATATTACCATGTTATTCCTGGGAAAGCCACACATTTATGCATCAGGAGTTACAGAGATGCCTGCTGCACATGCTCTCAAGCACATTTTTGCCTTCAAAACTGAAGCCCTGTAAAGTGTAAAACACTTTCCTAAAGAGAAGGAAACATTGAGTTGGATTCATATCTGACTAATTCAAACAGCACTGCAAAAAGCAGCTATCATGGTCTTTTAATTCGGATTCTTTTGGGTTTTGTTCCACATTGAAATTTGCAACTGAAATAAAGAACCTTTTAATGGCCAGAAACTGTTGAGGGGGTGGAGAGGATTTTCTTTTCTTTCTCTCCCTCTTAGGGTCTTTGGGACAGTTTGAGAATTACTTTGTTTCTCCTCTTGAACCCCATTAAGTTTGTTTAAGGATTTCCAAATCTGAAGGAGGAAGTGGTTATTTCTGGAGATAATCAGGGGTTGGGGAAAATCTAGAAGTGCAATAATCGACTCCTGTCCCTTGTGATTATGAGTAATGGAATCTGGGGTAATGGAAAGCAGGGGATGCTTTCCTTCCAGCCTTTCAAAAAGTATGAATGTATGAAGTTTGTATGAATACGTGTTTGCATGTATGAAGTTTGTGGCAGAAGGTGCTGAAACAAAGTGCAGCTTAATAGATTTAGAAGAGCTGTGATTTCCTCTGTAAGTGGCTTGCATTTGCAAAGTGCTGGTGGTTATTTTAAAATAAGAGATATAGGTAACCGTAACCTCAATGCACTTTTTTATTATTATAATTCATATTTCTCTCATGCTTAGCAACAGTTCTATTTTGCGCTGAAGCCTGCACTGGGGTCTCAAAACATCACTGCTGCTGCTTCTATGATGTAAAAGCTTGTTTTAATCCCTGTAACTAGAAAGTCATTGAGATGTACTAAGAGTGCTCTGAAGATAAGCTGTGAAGCATCAAAATGAATAGATATGCCTAGACAAAGGCATAACTATCAGCTCAGTCAGTTTTTCCCAATTTGCTTCCTTTTCAGTTAGAATAACAACAATTAGAAATATGAATCCATTGAATTCTGAGAGGTGCAGTTTCAGTATGTTGAGTGCGGTCAGGCTGAACTAGTCTGATCTAAGATCTAATTAGAAGGGATGTTTGTGATAAAACTGGGGATTTAAGCATTTTGGGGCTAAAGGGTTAGTACAGAAAGGACTTTTTATTCACTATCCCTATCCATAACCTAGAATCTTTTCTTTTACACTTCTAACAAAATACTGGACGTATAGATACAGTTTGAAACCTGCATCAGCAGGTAACCAGTGTTGAAATTCAAATGCATGGTTGAATTATTGATTATTGCTTCTACTTTTGAGCAGTGGCTTCTTTTCAGTTTCCAAGTTATGTCCCAAACTGCATTCATTCATTCAAGAATATTGTGTGGCCATTGTAACAGCAAAATAAATTTTTTTGCTGTAAGCTATTAGATGCATCCATGCTCTCTGCTCCACCTCATTTTCTGTGGATTGATCTGCATAAGTAATAAACTGTCACGGCAAAGTAGCACATATTACTTTCCAGTTTTCAGTGACTGGATAATTATTAACTGTTCACATTTAGATCAACACCTCTGCAAATATGGAAGTGGACAGATCTATAGATATTGATCCTCTAATTTCCAATTGTAGCTGACCGTTCCCTCAAAAAGTTGATGAGTTCTGTTGTTAATAAGTGAAATGTTGAGCCTGAAGGATAATCATACTGTAGAATTATCCTTTGGCTTCTGAACCAATATGAGCACACCTAATATTAAAAAGTTGAGTTTGACAAATCTAGTATGATCACTTCCTTCTTGGGAATAAAACTGATTTCCTGTACCAATGAAAGGATCAGGGTACTTAGCTCAGCCCCTTGAAAAGTAACTTGATTATCTGGCTTAATAGAAGGATAAGTTATGACCTGGAAATAAGGAGGAAAGCAAAAGGTTGAAAGGGTGTCTGGTTAATGTATTCATTGGCATAAGACTGGAAAAACGTTACTTTCATCTGGGCGAAGAAGTTCTCTTTGTTTGCCTTTGCTTCTGACCCCCTCCTGCCATTAAGCTGCTGCTGGGCTTCTTTGATCTACCCTAAGTTGTCAGGCTAAAACGGTGAGCCTTTGCAGAGTGCAGGCATCAGGATCTAACTAGAGCCTGTTTTGCAGCCACTCAAGATCTTGTCACTCTAGCTTGGCAAACCCAATGGGCCCAGAGTGCTGCTATTAGATCAAATGCCCTGGCAGTGAATTTCTGCTTGGGGGGAGGGTACCATGAAGTTCACCAAGGATTTACCAGTCCGTGGGAGAGATAGTTGTGCTTCACGAAGTGAAGACATGGGAGACATGGGGTGGGATAGTAAACAGTATTTCTCAGTAGAGCCCCCTATTTTAAGGAAGCCAATCAAAGCTCATCTTTTCTGGATGCTGAAGCAAACTGAACATTTCCAGTGTGCTGAGGGATGCTGGGTTGATGCTATTCAGGGCTATAAAATATTACTTATGAGTTTAATATTGATATTTGTAATGTTCTGTTGAAGTTAATGATTGAGGGTCCCTGGCAGTTGTGTCAGAATACAAAATAAAACAAGTTGCTTACCACAGCTAATGTAGAAAGCTACTTGCTAGATTATTATTTATTAGATTTTCCCCCCTCACTTTTATTTCTTTATAAGTAGCTCATGGTGGCAAACATTCACAATACCCCTTCCCCCTATTTTCCTCACAACAACAGCCCTATGTGATGGGTTGGGCTGAGAAAAAGTGACTAGCCTAAAGTTACCAAGCTGGCTTCATACCTAAGACATGACTACCACTCATAGTCTCTTGGTTTCTAGGCCAGCACCTTAATCACTACACCAAAATGTATTATTTGAAAATACAGGATGACAGACAAAAATATGGAGTAGCACTAAGGTCTAGTAAAGCCATTTGACCAGTGACTTTATGAAGGGAAAAGGCACATTTTTTTCTATTTCCTGCTCAGGAAATAATTCATCTGCTATGATTTTGCCAGAAACATATTATTTCAATACCCAAAGGTTTTGAACAATAAAATGACCTGTTTAATTTGCTAAAAATTTAGATCTATGTTTACAGTATTTGTTTTTATATAATAGTAATTTTTAGTAACTTATCTGTATCCATTCTAAGAGAAAACATTTTACTAATCATCTAATGTCCAATTTTAGTACTTATATACTGTACAGCTTGTCATCAATTTATAAACCTTCATTTAGCGACTGTTCAAAGTCACAACAGCACTGAAAAAATGACTTACGACCATTTTTCTCACTATGATTGTTGCAGCATCCCACGGTCACATGATCAAAACTCAAGACACTTGGCAACCGACACATATTTATGATAGTTACAGTGTCCTGAGGGTGTGTGTCATGTGATCAGCTTTACTTATCTTAAGCAAAATCAATGGGAAAGCTAGATTCACTTAACAACTGTGGTGATTCACTTAGCAACTGTGACAAGAAAGGCCACAAATGGGGCAAAACCCACTTCACAACTCTCTTGCTTAGCAATGGAAATGTTGGGCTCAATTGTAGTCATAAGCTGAGGACTACCTGTAAAACTCTTTTTGGCCATTTCTTTTCAGACAGATCTGATCTCTACCATAGGTGAGAGTGCTGCTTTGGGGGCAGCTGGTGCTATCTTCTGGGGAGATGCTGAAAACACTAGAAGTAAGGTATGTGTTATTTTCCCTCCCTCTCCCTCATTCCTACTTTATATGAGCTCATGCTAAGCCTAATACACACAGTAATTTTCCCATGGATCTCTTGAACAAACCTTTTGATCTCTTTTCTGTTAGGAGCATGTCAGGTCCTGTTCACTTCATCAAACGGCTACCCCAACAATGCCTCCCTAACTGTTCTCAGTCTAATTGCTCTTAGGCAGAGCTGTTTGGACAAGTTGTAAGTGAGCCTACTAAGAGGTGGGCTTTGCACATTTCTGGAAGAATGTAAATGTAAGAAAGGAATTATAATAGGTATTTTGAGTTACAGTAAAACAATATTTTAATTTTTTTAAATATGTAACTTTTTATGAGCCTAGAGCTAATTTGCATTCTTCAAGTTGTTAATAAATAAAGATACAAAAAAGAGAGTTTAAAAAGTAATACAAAAAACATCATGAGGATAAACTTTCAGTTACTGATTTTTTTTCTTTCCCTTTCATATCCCTAACCATTAATCTCTATTTAAGTATTGATACTTTATTTGGAATATTGAAGATTGTTGCTTATTATTTATTTGTATAATTTCATCTAATATTTTAACTGAATTCTCCTTGAAAACCTTATTCCAAATGCCCAAGCCTGCCTTGCTATATGATGTATTATATGGATGTATACATTATATGATGTATTATTTGTGAAACAAATCCTTTATCAGTTGAACCTGTTTCCTGCCTTCTCCTATCTTATTATTTCGGATTTTTTTTTTCTGCAGGAAAATTGCCAACTGATGAAAACATACATAGAAGAGCCCCTTGGCCGTTACATCATCAATGTGACAACCGCAGCCGAGCTCTGTAGCCAGACTCTTTGCAAGGGCCATGGCCGGTGCCGGCGTCAAGAAAGTGATGCCAGCATCTTCCTGCATCTCAATCCAAATAGCTTCCAGATCTACCGGAATGAATCCAAGCATCCAAAGCCACTCCTGGGAGCCAAAGGGAAGCTCTCTCAGGCAGACATTTCCTTCCTACAAACCCACTTCCAATGCCATTGTTACCAGGGGTGGCATGGAAAAGGGTGTGAGAAGCAGCTGAATCCACCAGGGGGTGGCCCCTCTACTTCCTACACACTTGGACTCCAGTTGCTGATGACTGTCTTCCTTCTGGTCTGTTTGCACTAGGCCACCTCTCCAGTGGAATCTGTGGGGTGCAAGGGAGTCCATGGTGCTTGGAGCAATGGGAGAGGCAGTGCAATAGGCAAGGAAGGTAGACAGCCAAGAAGAAGTAGGGGCCTCTCCCCTTATATCTTTATTTAGCAGTAATGTAGCAGACCTCCTCTTTAAGAGATGGCTCTACCTCTCCCCTCAGCTCTCCCAGCCCTTCATGAGGCAAAAGAAAAAGGATCCTTCTAACCACTGAGCGTGCTTCTGTTCAGAGAGCTGGACAACTGGAAGAAAGAGTGCTTTAGAGACTGGCAAAGGAAAGATGCTTCACGAGACATGACCTCCACTGTGGCCCTTGCCTTGGTCTGTCTGGTAGCTTCTTTATCATGGGAACCATAACAATGCTGTAGGTCAGCTACCCAAAAGAGAGGCTCACACAAGGGACCTGGGACCAGAGCACAGGGTCTGAATGCCTACATCCAGTCCTTTGTCCTTGCTCTGGATAAGGACTGGGAAGGGGATGCTTGACTCTTCTGTTTTAGGGAAGGGTGCCACAAGCAGCAGGGCCTTGAAGCGCAGGTGTGGGAGGTTTCATGGAACTGCTGTAATGAAGAAAATTGCTGCTGTTACCCATCTCTTTAGATAGGGAGTAGAGAAAGAGCTGAGTCCAGGGGGATTACCTTGGAGAGTAACTTGGAAACATTCTTTGCTGACTGTGGGGTGGGCAACGCAGTTTTTAATGGCCCAAATAAGGCCATTGACAGGGAAAAACATGCCTGGTTTGTCTGTGGCCACTATCAACCTGGAAGCCTGCACCTCTTACAGGAAAACCAAAAAGTTTTACCTCAGAATTAAAGAGACACAGAGAAAATCATGTGTGTTTTGTACTGTGTGAAGAAATCTTGCTGTTTGCCCTGGCATTCTTTCTTCCCTTTGCTCTTTGCCAAGAAGGAAATTCCAGCTGGAAGCAACCTCTAGTATGCAATAATGGATTTGGCCTGTTCTTTGCATGATTTCTCCAGGACAAAATTTGGCTTTGTCACAGAACATGGTCCCTCAATGGTGCTGATTTCAAGTTAGGGAGAATACCATGCAGAGAAGGTCCTGGTCTCTGCTGTGACCAAAGGGATAAAGAGTGAGAAGGAGGCCCTCACCTGCCCTCTTCTGGAGCTAACAATCCCTTTGCCCAGTTCTTCCTGTTCCTTGCCATGAAATCCGTACATTCTCTTTAACAAGGCTAGGCTACTCTCATGGGTCTGTGGGTCTCATGCAGGAAAAACAGGAGAGGGGACTTGTTAGATTTCCTTTTTTTTTTCCTTTCAACCGCAATCCCAACTCATTTCTTCCTGGTGAAGGAAGAATAGCTGGCATTTTGTCACTGTTGTCTTTTAAATCAGCTCCAAAGTTGGGCCTACCATTTGACAATATAGAAACTCCCTTAACCAGACCATAAGGAGGAACAAACCAAGACCTCCCAAGAGATTTTTTTCAGACTAGAGGATATGTGAAGACACAACATAATCTGCCTTCTGCTTGAAGATAGCCTGCTATTCCCCAGTGCAGCTCTGAAATAAGTTTCTAAATTATCCCAAAATGCATTTTTGTGCAGTTCTCCTTCCATTCTGTGTTACTCTTTAAATAATTTTATTATGCAAATTAAACTGCAAATTCTTACAACATTAAGCGATCAACCCCCAAAATAATAAGCATAGTAACAAAGTAAATAAGCTGCCTGGGAAAGCCAAGGGAAATCATCAAAACAATTAAAAAACGAAAATTAGAATATTTCGGACATGTGATGCGACACCCAGAAAAATATGGCATACTCCATTTAATCCTCCGGGGAAAGATTGAAGGCAAACGAGGTCCAGGCAGAAGAAGAACATTGTGGCTTCAAAATCTAAGGGACTGATTTGGACACAACTCAGTAGCACTTTTTTGTGCGGCTGCTGATAAAAACAAGATCGCCAACATAATCGCCAATGTCCGATAATGGACATGGCACCAGAAGAAGAAGTAACAAAAGTAGTCAATTTTTTAATGTGTTTTAATCTAATCTGGGTCATGATCATCTCATGTAAAATAGGATAAAGCAGCCTCTCTTCACTTCTTTATTTAGAACAGGTATCTCTCCCTTGGGGAGACAGGGAGACAAAAAGAAATCTTAACAATGAAAATTTAAAAATTCTCATTGGTTATAAGTGAGTTTTTCTAGATAAAGTGGATTGAAGGTCTCTTATCCTGATATAAGTCATGCTGGTCTTTTAAATACCTAATCTACCAAAAATTACAGTAGGGCAACTGGATATTTGATATACAGTGTGGTTGGGCCATGAGATACATGCCAGTCTATTGGCTTGTATTCATGGAACAAAGATGAAAATGCTTTCAAATTGGGGTTGGCTCCTCTTGATGCCAACGTAGTGTTGCAGCAATTCAGAATTACTTTGCCATTGTCTTCTTCCAGGTTATATTTTCAATTTGCCAGCTTAAATTACAGCAGGGGTCTTCAAATTTGGCCCTTTTATGACTTGTGGACTTCAACTCCAGAATTCCTCAGCCAGGCATGCTGGCTGAGGAATTCTGGGAGTTGAAGTCCACAAGTCATAAAAGGGCCAAGTTTGAAGACTCCTGGTTTATAGCCTTGGGATTTCCCTGTGGTTTTTTTATTCATATATTAACAAGGTCCAATCCTATTTACTGTGTCTGAGATCAGCCACAGCAAGGTGCTGCTACTTCAGCTGGACCACAGATGGGATGAGATGAGGTAGGTGGCGATGAGGACATTTCCTTCTGGAAGAACAACATCTTAACCTAATAATGGTTCTCACATCTCTTGATCTTTGGCTGTAAGGTGTTTTTTTTTTTTTTGTTGATTCTGCATTATTTATCTCTCACAATGATAAATAGGGCTATAGTAAATGTTCCAAGCTTGAAACATTTAAAGCAACATGGCCATTTTATTCCATAATATTTCTATTTTTCACTATAGATAATAGGGAGAATTCAAAATAAAAAACTTGCATAACACTTTGCAAAGAGACTTTTACAGATTATAATAATCACCCTGGCCAACCTTTCTGCAGGTTGGATGTCATATAACAACATGGACTAGTTCCACATCTATTTGGTAACTCAGATAAACAACTAGTGAGTGAGGATATTTAAAGTTCTTTATGGTGAACACTTCAAATACTTTGAATTCTTTTTGTCTGGGGGAACAAACCCATTGAAAAATGTTTCCAATGAAACATTATGAGTTGGGTTTGGAAAAAACTTTTTTTTTTAATTTTGTGCATACTTTATTGGTAAAACACATCTCAGTATTATAAAAAGGCTTCTTGGATCATGCTCGAGGAAATTCTGATACTTCACAAAATTCAGCCTTAATGGGAATTTTACCAGAGTGGAAAGTAGATATACTAGAAATTTAAAATGCTTAACTTGATCAACAAAAAGGCAGACATATAAAAAGTTAACTCTCCTCCCCCCCCCCTTCCACTGATTTTGCAGGACAAAATAAAACCACACGCAACTCCTTTGTCAAATTCTTGGCACGGGTAACCTTTTTTGTTTTGTTTTTATCAAAACCATTTTTAACCTTTCAACTGGAGATGATCACATTGGGAATTTGAAGCCTTGCATACATATGGCCATTTGTTTCATGAGGTTAGACTGCATGTAACTCTACAAAGGACAAATACAATTGTTTTTCAGGGTGGGGAGCTGCCATTCTGCTGCTGAAATGGGATGTTGCTTATACCAATCCTTGCTACTCCCCCAGAATGATTCTTTCTAGTATATAACCTTGAAAATATATCTTCTAGGCATGGCCCTAGCCTAGTGTGACAGTGATCAAGGTGGTTTAAATCATTGCTCAGGGACTTACTACTGTGATACTAATCCATTGCACATTTCTAAATTGTTCTCATAAGAGCACTAGGAAAAGTGCTAACAAGTGAAAATCTCAAGGCCATTGAATCATAAATGATGTCACCTGTTCACAAAAGCAAAATCTCTCAACCTCCTTATTAGAGAACATGGCTAAAATTCAGTGTTTGTTTGTAGCCCTTTGTTCTAATTCTAAAAGGTGGGTTCAACCCCCCACCACTACTTATGCTCCCTTCTGCAAGGTCTGCTGCACAAAACTTTTTACACCCCAAATTTAAAGAAACACAGCTGCCACTAGAGAGAATATAGTTGCTACTGCACATTGTAGTTGGCTGGATAATTAAGAAAAACAGTGGGAAGAACATAAGGAGACTTAAGCCAGAACAAAAGGACTGTTCATGTAGCTGTTCTGTTGGAATTCGTCCGTCAGTGAAGTTCAAAGATGACCGTGATTGGTTGATCCTGAATCAAGGGATCTACACTAGTGAGAGGTGAAAAATGCTTTTTTTTTTTTTTTTTTGCTTCTATACTTTTGCTCTTTGAGATGCAAGTCCTATTGACATCTGGAGTCTGCTTAAACATGTCATGATTTTACTATTTGTCCTCACAATTCCAGCATTTATTAAAAGCTCAAATAAAGTTTGAATACATGGATTAACTAGTAAAAAACTGTTTGATTAGGAAGGATAAAAAAGACCGCTAATAGTAGCTGCATGCAAGGACACTTTCAATTAAACCAATGGATGAAATGCAGCTACTGTAATGATTTGGTCCCATACGCTTGTCCCTGCTTTCTAATTCTGGTAGCAGATCCATTCTCCTTAATGCTCCATAAGGATACTCATTGGCTATTGACTTCTTTAAACAACTTTGTTATCCTCACCTCCCTTAAAAAAAAAAATCTATTGCAGTTGGTAATTGTTGACCTTGGGAAGGGGTACAGCCTACTGTATTTCTCCATCTAGTACAGTGGTTCTCAACCTGTAGGTCGGGACCCCATTTGGGGTCGAACGACCATTTCACGGGGGTCGCCAAACAACGCAGTCCGCCATTTTTTTCCTCTTTTCCTTAGCTGTGCTACTCCCTTTTATTCTATTGACCTTTGAAAGCCAATAGAATAGACTCTCTTGAATAGAGTCCAATCCTATTGGCTTTCAAAAGCCAATAGGAATTGTCCAGGCTGTCTCTGCCCTGCTGAGTTCGCCAAAAGTCCCATTCTGCAAACGGTACTGCACCAGTTGAGTAGTCCTCGATTTACGACCGGTTTAGTAGTCCTCGACTTATGACCAGTTCGAGGTCGTAAGTCGAGGACTTACGTATTTTCCATATTTTATTATTTCACCCTATTTCATCATACAGATTGCATGGTTCCCTTGAGATCTGGAATACGCTGAGTACCCTCAGATTCCTTATCTATTTTGTCACTGTGGTTCAGCCGTTGTCCTTGGTTTAAGTACATTCCAAATTCAATAAGAAAATCACTTCAAAAATAGTACATTTAAGAAAAATTCTTACCAGCTATGTGTAATGCTTGGATTTGTAGTAGAAGTTGCTTAAGCATCTTATTAAAAGCTGCCACCATTTATTAGTCTCTGGATTCTTGAAATTAAGCGTAAATTCTCATGTAATATTTAATCACTAAACATGAGTTAGAATAAGGACATGAAGTGAGTAAAGAAAATTAACTATAGCCTAAAACTTATTTCACAAATTTGATAAATCAGTATTCTAGAATTAGAACATACATGCTCAGTTTTACAGAACACACACATATCTCATGCAAACCCATGATAATTTAAACTTAAAATATGAATTTGTTTTCTGAGAACGTTATTACTGATATCACAATTATAATTATGTCTTCTGCAGCTGTATTGCAGATGGGATCATTCAGACATATTAACAAATAATGATTTCTGAATATCTCACAATTGGTGGGATCCATACAACACACAAAGCCAAAACCAAGTAAATCACTTA